CAATTTGAAACATGCCGCATGAAATAGTCTCGTACGGCGACTAGCATCAGGTTGTGTCTTCTTATGAATCATAGTGAAAGAAACTTGAAGCGGTAGAGGCGTTAAAGATAGCAGACGAGCCTAGTAGGTTATGAGTATACAAGCCATTCAGCCGTTCAAGGAGTACATACATGAAGAAGTTCATCATTGATCCATTTGTTTCGAAGAGAAAAGCTCGCTAGAAGAGCAACGGTATGCATCTTGTGAGACTCGAGCCGTAGTAGCCTCTGGAAAGCGTCGGCTTTTCCATCCCGTTTCCTGTCCATTATAGCTCAATTAAGGAATCAAGAACTGTTCACGCCTTACTTGGAATCTTTTGGTACATCTTCGATGATGACCTCAACGCTCTGGCTTGGTAAGCCTTTTTCTATACCTTCTTTCATAATATCTATTTCTTCCCATTCCAAATCATCATCACTTGAACTTGCACCTACGTCCATTTCAGTGGCTTTGTATGGCCCAGTGGGCTCGGACACAGGTCCAAACAGGTGTGGCAAAGGATATAGGGATGGGATATGCCCATTCATGGCCGGGTTCGTCAAGTCGGGCATAGTATCTTCATTTTCATCATTGACGGAGCTGGGTAAACTATCCTCCCAGGAGACATCCATCAAATGGCAAGGTAGTGGTCGGGGTTATTGAACGTACTTGACACCAAACCACCTAAGAACGATGGCAGCTTTGGGCGAATTATTGGCTCGCATTCCACCTGTATCAAGATATTGGATGCTCGCTATTCTCACAGTTGCTGGTGCGGTCGTGAGTTTGTCTTATGGATTTGCCAGCAAGTAGGAATGCTGAGATCGTATTGAAAGCAAATTCACGTTGTGAATCCATATCAGCTATATTTCAGCTTTAAAACTGCATTTGTTACATCTTTCCAGGCACGTTATCATAGCATACCTGAACACTATGCTTACCATCCTGTTGCTCGAGTAGCCATGGAGGATTATAACCACCTTCCTTTATCACGGTCCACTAGGATATGAACTTTTACTTTATTTCCTGTGGTTGTAAGTGAATGTGATAGTCACGGGACGAACCCTAATATTTTAAGTAGCTTTCGTTATGGTAGATGGCTGGAACAAACCTTCTTTGCCAACAAACCCGCTGAATATCTCATGCTGCTAATCGTATGCGCA